TCGGAAAACATTTTCAAAATTAACAATGGATATTCACGATCCGTGAAAGACACGGCGCTAACGCTCGGAAACAAAAAGTATTCACAATTACTGTGTATAAAAATATAATAAAAAGTATGATAAAATATAATAAAATACAATAAAACATAATAAAGGAATATAATATTTTTATACCCCTCTTTTTTCTACATTTTTCCGAGATATTTCCTTGACCGTTTTATACAAATGTAGTTAGTATGTTCGTACAGTATACCGAGAGAAATTATTGTTATTTTCCATGCCAACCATTTTACCGTTTTAACAATAAAAATATGAATAACAACAAAAAATGCATACAAGGTTATTATCATCAACACTGTAATAATGCTCGCTGGAAAATTTTCCGACTTATAATATATACTATAATTCTCTCACTATGATGATTATAGTTACAAAAATATCAGGTATTCAAATATTTTTCTCTCGGTATAGACAGAAAGAAATAAAATCTTAATGCCCTCGTCGCCCACTGCCGCGAGCATCGCGGGAACGGGACGGAAAATAGAAAGAGAACAGGCTCTCTCCGAGAGCAAGTACACACAAGGGGGCACGAAAGTACCCCCGATCGGAGTCCATTATTGTACTTTGCTGCACGATCGTACTGCATTGTGTGTGTCGGGTATAGACTGTCCGCATTGCGCGCGCGGCCGACACACGTGCGACACACGTACACCGGGCGCAATTGCGGACGTGTGAAGGGGGCGGGTGAAAGGGAAGCGGCGACAGGAGGCTCGCGTCGATCGCGATGCGGAACATAGGAAGAAGGAATGACATTACCGGATTGTGCAACGGCACAACGCCGCCGCGAACCGACTAATCAGAAGGACGGCGCACGATATCGGAAGTAATTAGTCACGAGTTCTTTCCCGTCCTCGTAATTGCCGTCGAAGCGGATCGAATGATTTACGCGCGGCACATTTTTGCGCGAAACGTTCGTTGTCGCATGCGTGTGTGTTGCTGCGACCCGCCTCGCGGACTTTACCGCGCACAAACCGCGCGGTATACTTGCGACGAAAACGCTCCATTAACATTACAACGGGCGACGATGGCAACGCGATAAAATAGAGACATATGTCGATGTATGTGTGGTGAAAGTCGAGCCGCGACTTTAACGAGGAGTGCTTTCGATGGTAACTTTAAATAAACGCTGTCGAACGTTGCGCGCACCGCACCGGCGAGCCACGTGCGAGCAAACACGCGTGCGAACTTCGTTCCCCATTTTATGAAATTATACACAACATTTGTAAATCGTTTATGCTCCCCCCCTCCTGAACCAGTAATTATTCCTTAATCGCGGACACAACACTGTGTTAATGTAATTGATCGTTAACAAGCATAAATATGCAATATCCCCTTTTATCAGAGCGCGTGTAACCACGTCCCCCGCAAATTCGACTATTACCGTATTGGTTTCGATATAAAGTACAATTACTCGCGAACGAGCCGGAGCAACGACGGGGAACGCTGCGTTCGTGCTGGTGCTGTGTGTGTCGTAGCACGAGGGAGAGAGAGAGAGAGAGAAATTTACGATTGCGAACGATTGCGCAAGCTTATCTCGAAAGACGACGCGCGATTAGCCGGCGCGGCGCGACGATTACGTGTATTCTCAATAGGATTAAGGCGTTAAATCAAATCTGCTGAAATCCGCCGGGCGCGAGGCTCACATTCGGCGCCGATAAACCGTTCGTCGCGCTCGTTGCCCGGGCGCAAGAAGACGCCTCGTGTGTTTCGCCGCGATCGAAACTCGCCCGAAACTCGATTTCGCAGCTTGTTGGCCGTTCCCCCCGACAAATCCCAAAAATTACATTATTATCCCGCTGTCACGCGGGCTGTCGGCGGGCGTAATGAGAGCAGACGTTCTCTCCTGCCTGGAGGCAGCGCTCTGTGTAACGCGGGCGAAATTTCGCGACATGAAAACTGGCAGGTGCATCACGTTAAGGGAAACGCTTCACCGGAGTTACGTCGCGCACGTCGTCCGGCGGTAATAACCGACGTAATACTCGCCCTTGTGGCGAAAGAAATTTAATTGTGCGATTGTACGCTCCGCTTATTATACGCGTTCCAGCTGAACGGGCCGCTCTGATAGCTTTGCAATTGTGAACTCTCTCTCTCTCTCTCTCTCTCCTTCTTCACACCGAGCACTATCACTCGTATACGGTATTTTTTGCGGTAATTGCTAGTAATACCGTTGTCGGTACAGTTAACAATCCGGAAAACTTTTGTTTCACACCGGCCACGCTCGCGATGCTTTACGCGCGCGTTAACCGGCGTGCACACAGCGCGCGTCACACGGTAAAATATTCGTATCATTCGGCGCGCTCCGCAGCGAATATGTTCGCACGAGGTTCCGGGACTGTTTTACAAATGTTCGTCGCAATAACCCGGCATGCATTTATTCATGCACAATTAATTCGACCGGAAACTCATTAATCTCCTTTAGAGACGTTTGCGTAAAAATTATAAACGCTGTTTACACATTTAAGCAGCCGCGAGGGAAAACGCTTCTTCGCGGCTTCGAAACGCGGCGGGCACGAAGGTGCTAAAGCACCGAGTTCGAAAGTTCATCGTACACTCACGGACGGGACAATTTTTCCCGAATTAATGAAACAATGCGTTGGTTTAATTACGAAGTTTTTACCTTAGAATCCGACTGATCGGAGAGTTTAAGTTCATTTATTATCGGAAAGAAACCTCTCATTGACACGTGAGACCGATGTGTCGCATTCACTTGACGGGCGTGATGTACAGGTCACTTGATTTCCACGGCGGAGGATCCCGATAAATCAGCGATGGGATCGTAATTTGCAATTTGCCGGAAAAGTCGTGTTATTTTTGTAAGGATTCCCGCACGTTGGGAAGCACGGCGAGAGACACACAAAAGCGACGACCGAGAGAGAGAGAGAGAGAGATAAAGTTACATTAAAATCAAGAGGAATAAATTGGAGTTCGACGGGAATTCTCTCGGACAATTATCTTGGGGACGAAGCAGCTCCAATTAAACGAGCTTCCTGCCGTTTCCGTCTCGCAAAAACGGGGCCGATGCTAATTAGCAAAGTCTACGCTGGAAGTGAATTTCATATCGAGTTGTAATCGAGTAAACAACGGGCCTTAAGTAGTTCGAGCGTGCTATCTGCTCCTACGATTTCTTCGTGACCTGACATTCAATCGAGATATTCGCATCCGGAGCTCCGCTTCTCTTTATAATGACGCATAAATATCGTGAACCGAATGCAAATAATTCCGAGGAATCGCCCGATGCGACGAACGAGGCTGCGATAAACGTTGTTGGAGTCGAACAAGAATGTATGGAAAATAAGCTGCCGCGTGTAACGTAGAGTAACGTAAGTTTTATTGCGACGCAAGGCGGCGAACTTCGGCGGGGACCCCGCTAATTTATTCGTCTCGCGAAAAGCGACATTAAGTCGAGTGACGGCCGCGAAGCGAACGTTGATTTAAAAGATTCAATTTTGACGACGATTACTACGTAATCGGCTCTCCCGCTAATCTTATTAACAAGAGAAAAAGAAAGAGATAGAAGCCATGTAAGAAATCTGTTTGCGTGATTGGACCTGAGTAACTGAGTAAGCTGAAACGAACTGTTATTAATGCGCGGCCGAGTATTTTATCTCTTATGATTGGTGATGGGTCATCGTCATTCATCCATTATCCGGCCTGGATTGTTGTTCCCGTCGGCTTCGGGCTTCTTATTGGCTGAAGAATAGCATCCGAGCAAGCGTTTCTCGTCTTCGGAATCAAAAGAGCTAATTATACAACGTATTGGAACGCCTCATTGTTTCACTTGGATAATCCGGTTTCGCGTATAAATAGGCGACTTTGAGGATCGCAAATTGCAATCAGCTCCGAATAACAGTCAGAGGGCAATTTCCGCACCGAGGGGAAATGAAAACTACCCCCGTAATCGTGATTACGTAATCCCGTCGAATAACAAAGTGACGAGATAAAAATAGCGAATGATCGCGTTCATGACAGCTTCATGTTGATCTGAAAAATCCATTTTACGAGAACTATCGTCTCTCTCGATCCGGGCCAGGCCCGGTCGCCACGAGTGTACGAATTATTTTACCGACGAGCGATTGCATCAGACGGGGAAGGTACGAATGTGTGTGCGTGCGTATGTGTGTGTCTGTCGGTATATCTGTAGGAAGAATAATTTCGACGCGAAAACCTTCCCGCGCGGAAACCCTTCCGTGCGGAAACCTTTGAAACTAGAACCCAGCCGAGGAACGCAATCGTAATTCACAGCATAATCCAGTTGATAAGAGCACAATACTACATTATTGTGCCAGTCTGTGTTTTTGCATTGTTTACTAATACCGAACGCCGCTCTCGACTTTGCGTTTCCCCGATTGCGAGGTCTCCGTCGTCTGAATTACGCGAACGTTTAATATTAATCATTTACGCGGCTCTGTTTATATTGAGAAATATTAAGCGGCGTGTAACCCACGCTGGGAAGGTAAGATGGCAAATTCGAGAGACACGCCACGAGCGAGCTCGCATTTCATAAACGTGTACGAGTGTCTTTTCGAAAATTTCCCCGGCGGAGTAACGGTTTTTTCCCGGATCGTAGTTCTCGAGACGAGACCTATTTTTACGGCGATCGTCCGGCGTGTTTCTTTTTTCCGAACGCGCCGCCCCTCAAACGGCGGAAACTGTTCGTTACGGCCACGCAGCGACGACAACTCGTCCGAATGCGAAGACGCGATGTACTTAACATCCCGATGTATTTAACACGCCTATCTAACCTATTAACTTAGACCGCGGAAAGATTGATAGGGATCGCCGTGAGCGCGCACTAGTGTGCTCCCGTGCGTAAGTGGGCGTAATAATAACACGAGAAAATCAGCGCGATAGCTCGTCCCGCCTCCTCCGTGACTTAAACGCCGCTCGTTTTCGTGAGAAAATCGTAAATCTCTAATACGTTAAGTTGTGTTTCCACTCACTCGGAACAGCGTAGGCGCACGCGACGAGGCACGTCGCGACGAGTAGAACGAATGCCTTCATCCTGTCGCACAATTCCGGTCGGTGCTAACTGCTCGTTGAATCTCTCTCGCTTGCTCGCTCGCTCGCTCGCCTGTTGCCTCGACGATGCTCCGATCGACACTGACCGGTCTCCACCGGCGAACGACGGCTGTCACGTACGACGTGCGAAAGGATCAAGGTTATCCGCTGGACCGGCCACGGAAAACACCGACTCTCTTTGCCCCGCAACGTTCGTCCGCCACGTTCTACACGCGATATCTCGATCGCCGTCGGACCAATCGCCGAGCGCGCCGCGTCACGTGACTCGCTGGCCACGTGACCGGTGACCCCGCGGCGGCGCGACACTTGAGTCACGTTGACGGCGGCTTTTCCCGGTATCGAATGTGCCCCCCGCGTAATTTCGCCGCTCTCCCCCCTCTCAACCGGTGAAAAACACGGATACGCGTTAACGTCGCGACAGACTTTTTTCTTCTCGACGATTCCGACGAGCGAACGAGCGCGCCGATTGATCGCGTTATCCGGTAGCACACGCACCAGCCGTTACGTGAAAACGTCTCCTGCCTTCCGCCGGCCTACCGCTGATAATTACACGAATTGCGGGGTGCATAACCGCGTGAGTAATGCGCTGTTCCGAGTAAACGTTCTAAACGTTATCTCGCGCCGCTGTCGGACTCAGTTACGAGTTCGAGAGAGAGAGAGAGATCGTTATTTCAGCGAAACAATTTTCGAGGAAAAACGCGATTTGATAAATGGCGCGAATAACATTTCCGACGCGTCGAGATGGCCGATGGATTTTATCATGGCCAAAAAAGGAACAGGTCAGAGGGGGAATGTAAGTGTCACGAAGAGGATCTTTATCGTACGCACACGTCTGTAGCGAACAAGGGCGGTGTGCGTGCGCGAGTTGTACATGCGGGTGTTATTGTTGTTATTATTATTACCAACGTCATTATTATGATTGTTATTATTGTAGAAGCCGCGGGCTCCGCCGGTGGCGAAGTAGCGCAGCGGAACACGATAATTATTCGTGCGTCTCGCAACATGCTCGTGTGTACACGCGTGCATGCCGGTGTACCTCTGTGCTGCTTGCACGCTTTCGCATAAGAAATCCACTACACGAGCAGCCGGGAGGAAACTTCGAAAGCAGCCGAGTCGCCTGACAAGATGCTTAACCCTGAAACACGAACCCTCGTTATTTTTACGCTGCCGGGTGCGCCGCGACAGATTGTTTTAATTAATAACTCTCTCTCTCTCTCTCTCTGCGCGCGTGATATATTCGAAACGAGTGACTTTTTTTGTAAAAATTTCCCTCTGGCAAATTTGCCGAGTTGGATATTTCCAAATTATTCCGCAATTAATACGCACAGCGCGTTCGCGCTTCGTAAAAATCACTCTCGTCAGTGGGGAAGGCATCGGTTTCTAAATTGTACATTCGCGCGGCGCGACGAGTTTCGGCGTACTTGGAAAAGTGTAACTTAAAAGGCCTTCTCTTCGCTGATACGTAGAAGTCGATAAAAGGGATTGTTATATACACTCGACGGCACACACTCTCATTATCCCCCGATCGCTCTTTGTGCGTTGTTCACTGATCGGACAGATTGGCGAATCCACGTGAGTGTGTAATTTTCTAAGAATACCCGACAGTTGTGCGGCGTCACGTGCGATTCGCATTGTTTTCTGCGTCTCGAGTGGAGTACGAGACGGGCGGGTATACGTACATATGCGACTGTGATCGCTTCGTCAATTCCGCGGATTTTCCGCAATGCGCGCGATTCATCGCGAGTACTGCGCGAAAATCGCGCGGCAACAATGAATACAAACGATTCATTGTAAGCGGGCGAACGTGTTATTACGCGACGTCCGTTTCGCCGCGTATGAATTTAACCTTGCACCTATTATCGCTCGAGGTACTTCCGTGCCTCCTCTGTAACCCGCTGTCTATGCAGTGTCACCTAACGCCGCGATCGGAGTTACGGCGGAAACGCGGCAAATAGATTTCCAGAAGTTGATGTCTTCGAGCAATACGGATTGCAACTTACGATTAGTTGAAAAGCTTCAAACTCGCCCCGGGCGATCAAGAATCCTTAATTAAGAGAGTCGAACGTGTCACGCTACAGATTTTTTCCGCGACAGTTATTCGAATTGATTGACTCTGAGTGGTGTAAATTAAGAGAGAGCGATGTTTCGGAAAGCTATAAATGCGCGATCAATCGGCTAAAATCGCGTTCATCTTATTTTCTTCACCTAAAATAAACGATGGTAAACGATGGTAAACGATCGTAAACGACCATTCGGGTCACTTTAGACCCCAATATTGCTGTTATGAACCAAAATATAGCATATTATCGATCGCTCCATGACTTACTATTATTTGGGGACATTGTAGATATAAATTTACTCGCTACTTTTTGAAAAAAATAAAAAAATATTTAGAAACGAAATAAGAGTATTTCAAGTGTCTTATTATGACAGTATCTCTAAATGTATGAGGATATCAATCGGGAACTACTGTTTTATTATCTATGTTCAATAGGATAATATATTTAAAAGGTTCTTGTCATATAAAGTTACTAGTGTTAATTCAGGATTGTAAAAAATTACTTTTTTTTATTTCTATATTTCTTTATTACTTTTTCCTTATAATTTTTTCCTTATAATTTTATTTTTTTATTCGTTTATATTCATTTCCTTATTATATTATATAAATATATAACATAAAGATATTTTTAAACAAAAAAATTATAAATTTTTAAGAACACAGATATTTTTTATATTTAGCACTAAATAAAAATGCAGTTTAAAAAATATTAATTTCACTTGTACAATAAATGTTAACGTTAACTATATACGTTAATTATAAACAATAAATAAAAATATTTAATATTTAATAATTGCACCTCTCTCTATTTTTCCGGACATTTCTATCAGTCAGTATCAGATGTAATGTAAATGTTGCTTGGTGTTTATAGGTGTACATACAACCTCATTTAAACTTATCTTGCCTTCATAATACGAATTCTTACTTTGCTTGACTAATTTCGTAACGTGAACGATCACCCGAGGTGGTTTTATACCTCACCAAGTTTTTATAGGCTTATAACATGAATAAGACGGGTCACAGCCAATTTTTGTTGCGCAAGTTAAGTCTTTACATGTCTAAATGAAAGATAGACATGAGTTTTTGATCATTGCGACGTGAGCTTCATTTTCTGACCGGTGAGATTTGAAATGACTGATGATTCCTGAGTTAAGAGGATTCCTGGAGTCATCCTGTTTTACCGCAAATTTTTTTACTACACTCACTACTGGCTGCACAGAATTAAAAATCCTTTTGTACAATTACAATATATATGTTGATATGGGCGGGGACGATTGGTTTCATTCGAAAAACGAAAAGAAGTTAGCAAATTATAAAACTTTTTTCGTTTGTCGAATAAAGTCAACCGTTCTCGTTCACATTAATGTGTGTGTTGTAATTGCGTAAAAAAATGTTTAATTAGTCCCAACCAGTAACGTGTACAGTACCAACAAGTTTGCGGTAAAACAGGACGACTTCAGGTTCTTGTTAACGATCTGTGACTCACTCAGAGACACGTCTCATCCGCTCGTGACGGTCGCGCCTGGAAAAAAAGAAAAAAGAAGAATCGTTTTAGGTGCAACCCTTCGGCGCTGCGTCATCGGGGCATAATGAGCGACAATCGCGTCGGCTATTGTTCGCCGATGCGCGATTAGTCACAAGCGTTCGAGTGGATTAACGAGAGTGAGAGAGACAGAGAGATAGAAATAGAGAGAGAGAGAGAGAGGGAGAGCCCGGACCGGTCGAATGCCGTTAAGTCGTGCGTTCAGTGACCGCACCGACACGGCGGCCTGCTGCAAACAGACAGTTTGATTAAAAGTAATTGCGTATGTCCGATGTAGCCGGATTTTGGACGAATTTTCGAAGCGGCCGCGTCGCGCGCGCATCGTGCTCATTCACAGGCCGCTGGTAATTTCGTGAAAATGCATTTCACGGGTCGATTGCAATGTGGATCACGCTGTTGTTTTCGGCTTCATGCCCGCTTCCTGTGATCCTTCCGGCCCGCGCGTACCCGCTATAATTTATGATGCGGAAGAGCCGGCATATAATGGCCGCGGACCGAAGGCGACTGCTTTCGTCGTGAACTCTTGCCACTGTGAGCGCGGGCAATCGGTTGAATGTATTTAACGGCGCGTCGGAAGACGCAGCATGCATAATTTAAGTTCCGCATTCAGCTCTCTCTCTCTCTCTCTGTGTCTCTCGCGCGCCGGCTCCTTGTAGTTCCGCCGAGTCCGTATTGTGCCGATGACATTCCGCACCGGTATGTCGAAAAAAAAGTCTTATTAAAAAGACGCCGCGCGGAATAACGAAGTGCGACACGAGCTTTCCGGATATCCGCGAAATACGTGGAATCGCATCATCCGGTTGCCGTGGTTGCTGTACCCCGTGATATCCCTTGATAACAGTTTAGCCGCACGGTTAAAAATTATTCGATTCTTATAACCGATTCAAAATAATTGAAGAAAATATTTTTCTACGATCTAGTATAATTAAACGCGTTTGCGAAACAATGTCAAGTACCTCTCGGTCTACAGTGCCTCTTCCGTTGTAGAATTATCTGCCGCTCGCGTATAGCTCTAATCTAACGAAAATGTTGTCGATGATAACATTTGTAGGGAGATTTGTCGGGGTAATGTCTCGATAAGATTTTTGCGCAGTCCGCTTTAACGGATTATTCTTCGCTCTTTGTAAATAACTTTTCGAGTCCTGAGTCATCATGTGTTCCATATTTATTCGTTTCTACGCATACGTGACATGAATTATAACGGGCACTTAAAAATGACGTCCGTGTTCGGCGCTAACACACGTGCAAGTCTCGATCGCCCGACGCTGGAATATCGACGAATATCGTTATTTCTCCCCCTCCCCCTTCCAAGCTTATATCTCTCGATTATGAAATGCAGATGAGAGCGCCGACTAATCTTATTGCGCCGTCGACCGTTTACATAATGTAAATGCCATTATTGCAGAAGCGCAGCTGGAACACCGCATACTTCATTACCCGCGAATTTCTAACAAGTAACGACACGTAACTTATTGCGACGCTCGTAGTTACGCAGCCTCCTCCCCGGCTGGAGTAATATTTTATTGGTTAAAGATAAAGAGCGCTCGATCGGCGCACGGAAAGTATCGTAATTTGCTATACAAATAAAGCAAGCGGTTAACCTCGCTCTGTCGCTCTGTGATTTTCGAGATGTCTATATCGTACGCTGATGATTTCATTGCGCAATTTGAAACTCGTCTCCTTTATGCACAAAATAAAATACATATCGTTGCCGATGTATATATATATATATATTTTTTTTTTTCCGGAACGCTTATGAACCCGATGAAGACGGGCGCGGAAATCCGCGTCGAGATCTCTCCTCGTGACACTTAATACGCGATCCTCCCACGTGTCCGTGATTTGACAAGCGCGTTAGCTCGTTAACCGCAAACAGTCTGCGATTAGACTTTGTAATTCCCTCACCTTTGAAAAGCTCGCGGACCGAGTCGATTAAGGGTAACTGGATCGGCGTCGTGTGCGAAAGTTTCGAGCGGGTAATCGGGACGACAACGTATCGCCAATGATAATGAATCACCGTTAAGCATATGTGTGAAGTACGCGTGAGGTACGCGTACATCTTTCCTCATTCTTTTTTCCATTACGAGAACACAGAATATTTCTTCAGATTCGTCACAGAGAATTCTTCACACTCGCCGAAAATAAAATTATTCGACAAGAGATATCTTCGCTCGATGAGACAGCAGGCGTATGTAATTCGCTGAAGTCATATTTAAATGATATTAACCCTGAATTTTATCACGCTTGTTATATATATTTGCTTGGTTATCGTCACATTAGCTTTGCGTACAGGTAGGGGGGCAGAAGAGCATACGTATGAATCAGCGAGAAATAAGTGTCTTGTAGAGACTGGTACCGATGAGTTCGACGCGCGACGTAGATGTTGAGTCACCGCGGCTGGAAATATCGCAATTGCTTCGCAGCGTTTGTATATATTTAAGGTGGAGAACCACCGGTGGTCGTAACTGCCGATAATTACCGGTAGTTTGGTACCCAACTACCGATAATTATCGATTATTTTCTGGACTATTACAATGCTACAAAATGACATTGGGTAAAATGGGCCGATTTTGTTCCTTGAAGTGGTAAGTAAAAACAGTATGTTTTTTTGTTGTTTTTCAGCAGCTGAATCTGATTCCGATCTGGCTACGTGTTAGCCAAGATAATTTAATTCTGAATGTGGGATATTTTTGAAGTAACGCATACTTTTGAAATAACGCAAAAATTACGTCTACTTTAAACTACTTTTTAACATAAATATTGTCTAAGTATTTCTTATCTTGACTACGTGATGGATTTGCGCAGGAAATTTCGAAGAATATTTCTTTCCACTGATTACAATTTTAAAACAATTACAATTTCAAAAGCAACGTAATGCACGTACATGATGATGCGATCCGGCTTAAAATAACTGCTAGAATCAGCTTTCTCAATTGGTTACAAGAATCAGTTGCAGTGCAGAATGCAGCACTTAGGAGTCGAGAAAAGCACCTATCCGGAATTAAGAAACCACTTCGGAATTCGGATATTTTCCCCACGCTGTACAGCTCATTTCATTAGCTAGGAAGCATCTGAACATAAACTTAAAACGATCTTAAATATAAACGATCTAACTATGAATACCGATCTTCGATTCTACTCTGAATTGAATTTATCTATGAATTAATTCATACTATGAATACGGGTTTTTTATTAATTTATATGGTAATATTCGAAGCTTGCAGTATCAAGTAAACTTTAGCTCAAATACATCCGAATCATTGTTCGCGGGTTATATACGATGAAAAACAAAAATATCGGAAACCACAGATGATCGTAAGAAAAACGTCGATATGTAGTTTTCTGTAGCTGGAACTATCGATAATAATTGATATGCTTTCGATATTTCTCCTACTTCTAGTATACATATGCATTTTCCTTCACGGTGTATTGTGTTAGCCAGCATCGACTCGATGTGTTGGCGGAAGATTCTGGTTTCCCAGCGGAGGACGTGCGCGTGCGTTCCTTCGCCGTGTTTAAAGCCGACGATTTAAGTTCGCGATCGAATTATGCTCGAATTTGCATACGATACTAACGGTGAAGAAACGGCTGAAGAAACTCGTTTTTCCGATGAGTATCCGCGCTTATATAAAATGTATACGCTGGCTGGTGAATAAATTATGCAGCCGTAGCGCACGTGTCGATGCAAATTGACATCCGACGATAATCCTCGTTTATATGTATGTGTGTATATATACATATATATATATATATATACATTTGTATATGTGTTTTATATATGTATATATATATATATATATACATGGATTTTAAATATATTACGAAAGCTCTCTCACGTTTGTCAAACGCGTGACAGTTTGTGGAAATACATTTCATCGTATATATTACGGCGTCAGAGAGAGTGAGAGAGAGAGAGAGGGAGAGGGGGGAGGAGAGGGAGAGAGGAGAGAGATACCAGTGAACGTTATCTCTTTTCGTAGATTCACCGTGGCTGTGTAAATTTGGAAGTTTATCACGTTGAGCAAACTCACGGTATTGTTGCGGTCGCTCCGCGCAACGGACGGAGGGAGGGGGGGGGGGGGGGAGTTTGCATATTGAATTGCATAAACAATATATTAATTGAAAGGGCCAGTGAATGAAAGCGCGTGGTTTAACAATATTTTTGGAAATATTTTAATTCCCGGGAGCGTGCAAATTTCGCCAGTATGATGGGGGGGGGAGGGGGAACCATTTGTTTTTAGGCTAACAAATATTTGTAAGAATAATAACGAGAGAGTTCAAAGATAAAACGGCAACAAAAGCGCCAAAAAAATATTGTCGAAAAACACGGCATTTAAAATGTTCCGCGCTGTATTGTTATATTATTTTGCCGTTGAAATCTTCCCAGATTTTTCAACTCGAGTCGTCGATCAGGTCGCGGATCGGCAGAGATCGCGCTTCGCTGAACGGCGCGCGCGTGTGTACAACGTCAGAAAATAATAATTCACTCTCTCCTTCGACGAGCTGAACTTTCGTAAGAATGCGTTACCGCCCTCGGGCACTCGCGCGGATTCTCCGATTGCAAGAGCGTTAAGTGTCCGCGCGCCTCGTCTAGGCATGAAGTGTCCACTTAGGCACTTACCGCTCCGCCAGTATATGTGAATCAGATATATTGGTGTGTTAAATTACACGCCACCTGCAGTGGCCGCATCCGCTCGCGCTATTGCAGCACGCGCGTTTGTTCGATCCATCCGGCGGCGCTCACCACCGCCACGTCGAATTGAAAATGTGTGTACTTTTTTGCCGGTTCGCAGTCATTCGGGGAATGACGAGGCATCAATTTACAATAGCGTGACCGGCGTATAATACGTCGACTATGTATCATCCGCCGAACGAGGACAACGACGATTCGCCCGATGCGATGAAATATGCGGCGCATAGCTCAAGTTGCGCCTCGTTATGCGGGATTGTTCGATTTTTCGCGAGCGAGCGAGAGTTTCATTCTTTCGAAGCACACCGGGCGACCCTCTCGACATTTGCTATCCAATACGGCGTGGTGGTGTCGTTTAGCCCTTCAGTCGCCGTGTCTCTTGGCAACTTAACATTTCGGCAGTATCGACGTGATACCAATTCTCGATGTAACAATGTGTACATATTATTGCAGCGTCCCAATTCGACGGGAACGCAATGTCCGCTGCATTTCGGTCAGATACGGGCGCACTTTAAACACACACATACGCGCGCGCGTCGCGCGTGTTACTGTTTTATTCGAACTTTGAGAGACGGGGGGAGGGGTGGGAAATTGATTTCGCCGTTCCTGTCGTAAATATGGACATAATGAAGCGCGAAACCAGGTTCGAGCGGACGACTGCGTGCGGAACGATGGAAAAATGCAATTAATATTTTTACCCCCGATTAAATTCATTAAAGAGGTGCAGCACCGATGCGCGCGCTTTTGTGCGCCGACATGTATGTTAATACCATCGATTTATCTAATTATATGTAACTTAATAATCTGACTCTCCTCTTTGTGCTACCTTTTCATTTTTCATTCTCTCTCTCTCTCTCTCCCTGTATATTTTTTTATTCATTTTCCCGCGACGGTCAATTACGCGCCGTGTTATCTTTCCGGAATATACTTTTCTCGATTCTACATTCTATCTCGTGTTGCAGTTTTCACGGTAGTGCGTTCGTCCTCGCGTATGATCCGTCGCTCGGAAAGTGTGCTAAGGTCGAGCGATCGCGACGCGCGGGATTAAGTCACGGTCTCCGTCACGCCGCCGAATGTTAGGCGCGCGGGTGGTGAACGCGGTTCGGTTGAAATTACGGCCGGAAACAAGGCGGCTAAATGGTCGGCGGGTGCTGCATTATCTCGCTCTCATCTCTCGGCGGAGGCGCGCCCCTGATAAATCCGCTCGCGTAAAAATACAATTTCACGCCGGCGGCGGTGGTGACCCTGCCGTGTCCGTCCGCACCAGGTACCGTTTATGGATCGGTTGGTTGCTATAGCGCGAGCACCACGAGCTCTCTCTCTCTTCCGCCCTCTTCCTCCACCTGTGCGCGCTGCACACCCCCTCGCAGGGGGTACGAGGATCTCGAGTGTTATATCAATGGAGTCGGCCGCGAGTAGCCGCACGACGAAGCGGCTTTTCGGTGTATCGCGACGGAAATGGCGTGCTGCTCCTTGAGAATCGCTCGAGAGAGAGCTCGCACGGGCGGCGTAGGCTGATAAGGGCGTGAAAACGGGGAACGTCGGAAGGGAGAGACCGGGGCGAGCCGACAGCTTTTCCGTGGCTCTCGGCGCCTACCGACGACGAGGACGGATATGTCTGGATGGGTGGTGTTTGCTCGTGCCGCCGCGGCCGCGGCAGCCAGCTCAACGCCGGCTCGATCCTCGACCGGGTGATCAGCCAGGCGAGCAACGAGGACCAGTGCTTGCTGTATCGGCTGGCCAACTACAAGAAGGGCGGCGAATTGATAGAGGCGTACAACCAGGGCGGCCAGCCGGAGGTCGAGAAGCTCATCCGTGAGCAATTTGGCATCCTGCTTTACGCGGATGGCAAGGGCCAGACGATCAATCGCGCCGAGTACCTGCGCTGGAAGTTCCGCGACCTGGAGCAGGTCGTGCTGCCGATCGAGGCCTCACTCTCGAGGTTCGATCCGCTGGCCCAGTGGAACGACCACGAGGCCTGCTGGCAGATGCAGTACAGGGGCTCGTTGGGCGAGACCCTGCTGCACGTGCTCATCATATGCGACACGCTCATGCACACCAGGATAGCGCGCACCTTGCTCAAGTGCTTCCCACGGCTGGCCATCGACGTGGTCGAGGGCGAGGAGTACCTCGGCGCGAGCGCCCTCCACCTGGCGATCGCCTACAGCAACAACGAGCTCGTGCAGGACCTGGTCGAGGCGGGCGCGATCATCTCGCAGCGGGCTATCGGCAGCTTCTTCCTGCCGAAGGACCAGCAGAGGATGAATCCGGCGAGGAACACCGATTACGAGGGGCTCGCCTATTTGGGGGAGTACCCGCTCGCGTGGGCCGCCTGCTGCACCAACGAGAGCGTCTACAACCTGCTGCTCGATTCCGGTGCGGATCCCGACGAGCAGGACACTTTCGGGAACATGATTTTGCACATGGTCGTGGTGTGCGACAAATTGGTGCGTATTGCGGCACGACCTCGCGCGCTTGCGCGAGAAAGAGAGGGCGAAAGGGAAAGAGAGAGAGAGAGAGAGAGACCGCCAAGTGTTTCCCCCTGAAAGCGATTCTCCCTTTAATCTCCCGAATAAACGTGATATTTTTTCCCTCTTTCAACAGCCTCCCACGTCGCCGGCGCTCACGCCGGATCTCCGAACGCGCTCGTAATCGCGTTTTTACGGTCCGCGGGAGAAACGCGTCCGAATCTTTTTTTCCCCACCTCTCGCGTCCTCCCGCAGATTTCTGCTTTATCCCGGAATGATCGCTTCACCCTCATGGAAACCGTCCCGGCAAGTAATTCCGCGAGGCCAAGCAAATCATCTATACGGAGGACTATTGTTGTTTGACGTAGGACATGTTCGGCTATGCTCTGCGACATCCCAAGCTTCCCGCTCGCAACGGGATCGCGAATGCCGCAGGCCTGACCCCGTTGACACTCGCCTGCCAGCTGGGGCGTGCCGAGGTCTTCCGTGAGATGCTGGAGCTGTCGGCGCGGGAGTTCTGGCGTTACAGTAATATCACCTGCTCGGCGTACCCTCTCAACGCCCTCGATACGCTGCTCCCGGACGGCAGAACAAGTATGTCGTAAAGCTAATCGAATTACCGCTGGTCGGCTATCGTCGCGGGGAATCGTCATCCACGGTCCACCGGATCGTCAGCCTTTCGAGTGGGCCGCCACTTTGTCGCGCGTTTCCCGATTAATGGCAACTATAGCGATATATAGCGAGTGGAACGAGCGGAGTGCGCGCCTTTCTCTTTCCCATCTCACCCTATGGCGTCTTTTTTTCCTCTTCCTCCCCCTTCGCACTCATCTTCTTTAGCCTTCGAAAATTTAGTTTGCTCCAGAGACGCGGGCTGTCGAGCCTCTTTCTTCGCCCGCGGCACAGTTTCTCCGCTGTGAAAAATCCCCGGGCCGCTCCCGCTTCGAAAATTCGCTCGGTCCTCTCGTCGATTTCTTCGAGCTTCGAAAAGTGTCAGCGCGATACCGAGTCTCCTTTTCGGCAATTACCGTCGATTACTTATCGATTTATGTCGCTGTCTTCAAGTCGAATTTCCTCTCGTTTACCGCGCACACGCATTCGTATACACGCTGTCTCTTATTTCCTTTTTATGTTTTATGTATGTCGGGAGAAATTTACGTTCCGGGATATGAAATAAGTCACTTCTCCATCCTTTTTCTCATTCTCTCTCTCTCGCTCTCTCTCTCTCTCTCTCTTACTTCTCTTCCTTTTTCAATCTTGAATATTACAACGTGCTTCAAGTCTGAGACGAGGTATCTCGCGATGAGGACATTTTCGGAATATTCGGTAAATTATTCCGGTGTCTTTTTTTTTCTGTTATATGTGCGGCTTATGTAAAATTGTCCTCACGGTTTCCGTATACGGCCTGCTTTCGCGTAAAAGCGTCCTTACAAGAAGAAGATGGGGATAGAGCAAAAATTGCGACGTCGCGAGTGTCGGAGGAGGCGAGGGAGAGAGAGGCCAATATAGCGAGAACAAGAAGGGAGGCTTTCCCCGTAAAATTGGATACGAGAGTAAAATCGAAGGCAAAATCGGGTTGCGAAGTTGCTGGAAAAAAAGGAAATTTTACAAAGTTCTTCGCGTGCAGGCTGATAGTAAACCATACCGGCAGCAGCTTCCCCTGGCGCAACGCGCGGATAACATTCTCCGGCAGAAACTCGCTGATATTGGCCGGTTATTGGCGACGCTTTCGTGTCGTTATCGCGTTGATATTTCCATGTTTTGACGGTAATTTAGAGCCGAAGTCGATTTCTCATTTAATTGAAACCCGGGCGAGATAAATGAAATCGTTTTAGGAAGCGCGATGCAAATTGCAGCGATGTAATTTGATGCCGATGGTTTATACATGGTTCTACGTTTAATTATGTATACAGCGGGTTCCGCCGAAAGATTTGTACATTATTAAGCTTCATTAATGTGTTTCCGATTGGTTGCCGCGATGCAAGTCCATTCGCCGTGAAAGTCCCAGTCGATTTCGACGACAGTGCCAGCATGAGTAATTTAGAGGCGCTTCAATAAACAACCTTGCACGAAATTTCTTCATTTTTTCGTCGGCCCAGTTTTTTCGTTGATCCAAATTTATAAATTTCGAAACGTGGGTAAGCGGATTTGATTTTGCTCCCCACCTCAAGCTTTAATTTAAACGGAATCCTCATTCTCAGATTCGCCATGTTTCTAAGGCACACACACACACACACACACACACATACACACATATATATATATATCCTGAAATATAATCCCAAAGTTTTTGATCCGGATCTTAGATTGATTCGATTTGACGAAGTAACGGATCCCCCGAATCCCATGGAAATTTGTCGTCAGTAAGTGCGTGTCCGCGGCTAAAACCAACCGTGATATCCCCATAGGAGCGAAGGGGGTGACACGGTTCGGTTTCACCCTCGCGTTTGTCATGTCACCGAAATTCCCCGTCGGAGAGCCGCCGCAAGATTCTGTCGGGTGGAGAGCGGAGAGGGCCGGGAAAGCTTTTCGTGTTGCCGTTCGCATTTTAAGAGGACCGCCAATCGAACTTGCGTGAAATTCTATCGAAGTTCGTCGGTCGTGGAAAGCGTTGCCGAGAAATGGATGCGACCGTCGTCGTCGTTGTCGTCGGCCCGGGTTTTCTCCCGGATGTTCGCCGAGAGCGCCGCGAAGCGATGCGGATGCCTGGAAGCGCGGTGGCTCGTCGTGGGATGCAATTACGGGCATTTAACGAAGTTTCGAGATTAGCCGCGGACTCGACGAGGAGCGAGGCGGCGCAGCGCGACGCGGCGAGACGCGACGCGGCGTCGGGAGCTCGCGTTTCATTTAGTTTCGGAATCCATTATCCCTTCGATCCTTCCTGGCCGCCGCCCACCCATCTCCCCGCGGCATAGGCGCCTTCGTCGGGACACGAGCGTCAACCGATTTCGTAAGGGTGGAGGTGACGACGAGGGCGTCGGCGGAAGAAAGTAACCGCGCCGACGAGGGAGAGAGAGAAAGAGAAAACGGCGTTGTAGTGAGGTGGGCCGAACTTTCGGCACGTCTTTCCTACGGACACGCTTAATTACTCCGAACCAAGACCAGAGAACGGTCCAAGTCGGAGGGATGAGATTGGTAGGTGGTGGTAGAGAGCAGTGGCGGCGACTGACCGAGAGAGAGAGAGAGAGAGAACCTCGGTGGCGGCGGCGGTCAAAGGTCGGAGCTTTCAGCGGGAAAGCCATTCCCCTCGTCGGCTTCGCGCTCCGGCGTTTTTCCTACCTGAATCCACGGCAGTCGCGCCGTGAGCGCGGTGCTCCATGCAAAAAGACACTTTCACAACTACTTCCGGTATGATCTTTGCGGCGCAAACTGACCAGGCTGTAGCTCCGGGAGTCGGGGGAGGGGACGGAGGGGGCGCACGACGCTCACGCGCGATCAATGCGCCGCTGGATTTCGCTGCGCTATTCCATTCTCGTGGATTAACAATATCGTACGTGCGAGCGCGCGAATATATAAAAAGCGAGTGTGATTAATGAAATTCGCGGGTTAAAAGGCGCGAGACGTCGCGGTTAATTTCGTATTCTGGACGCACCACCCCTCCCCCCCCCCCNCCCCCCCCCCCTCGTGTCTCGTGTCGCGCTTGTACTTTTATGTAAATTCGGGGGAGTAACAAGATTAATCCGCGAGTAATCGTGCGGCGCGAGAGATACGACGTCGCGTGTGAACGTCACGACGCGCGACCATTTGAGCCGCTTACGGTATTCTCGGCCGAGGACAGATTCCTGACGACGCGCTGGATCGTTAAGACGCTCGTCCTCTTTCAACTCGCGCTCCTATTTCAGAGTTTTCTTTCACACATAAGCGACGACGCCACATAAGAGGGCTCTCTCGGCAGCTTTCGAGGTCGAGTGGAAGCGATACAGAGTGCGAAATCCGCCCGAAGTGTACGGGGACAAAAATATTCCACCCGGTGTGTTGCACACAATTTTCCGCATTTTTCCCTTCGGCTCTAAGATCGTCCGATACGTTGATCTAGGTGTAAAATACAAACTTGTGCGGGAGACGCGGCAGAAACGTATTAATACAAATAAAATTCCGGATATAAACGATTAAAGCGAATTAATTTTTACAATATGAGAGGGTATACAGTTTGATTTTATTATTTTAGTGGAATTTAACTTGATATGAAAAATATAAGTTGGTTGCTTTGCTAAAATTTAAAAGTGATATTAACTTACAACCCGTTAAAGCTAACGAGTTTTGCGTACAAATTAATAGTTACATATTATGTTATTGCAAAAACCACATATACACACGTGCAACGCGCATCTTGGCTTCACATTTGTACACAATTATAATATTTTCCTCGAGTTATAACATGCTTTGCTAGAATAAATAGCCACGGTGTTGCGTGATCACACGCTGCACAGAAAGAGCAGGAAATTAAATTAATAAAATGATTTTCTTGGCTCACCTCTAACATGTTTGCGTCGACATTCATATTTGTGAATGAACGATATAATCCTGCAGAGTATATGCGCATACTGGAAATATATCGGCGAATGTGTCGATAACAGCTATGTACAAGGTGTACACACGATAAAATTTTAATGACAGATTTGTTTTATCTAGAGTCGCTTTACAAAAGTCAATTTTGACGTGTTACGTTAATTTTTTAAATCAATTCCTGGCGAGGTATGATTCACGCGATACGGTATAAAACATAATAATATCGTCACTTCCTTACAACTTTTTAAAAGGCTTAATTCGCGCATTTAATTAACGCGCATTTCAATTTAATCGACATGCTTAATTTTCAATATTCCACACTGCGTCGAGTCAAATGTTCAACGAGGAAAAATTGCCTTCGAATTCTCAGTGTCACCCGGTAGAGGCCAACGCAATTTTAATTATCCGTTGAACTGTCACAGAGCTCCTTCCTGTTTTATTATTTAACTTCGATACCGGAACGGCTATCGACTTGCCAACCCGAGAAAAATGTAGAGGTGTGCTAATATCTATTTCAAGAACATCCGACGCACACATTCGCGCATTTCTGCGACATTAATAGAAGACCTTTGAGAATAAGCGGTAGAAATGGCAAACTCCATAAAAGTAAAGTAAATAAAGGTCTCGTCTTACATAGGCAAAAAATATAAATACGGCAGTAAGTTAATTTTATACCATGGCGTTAATTTTATTCCCCGGAGCAAGGTGTAGGCGACCTCGTATGATATTTTATCCAAGAGCGGAATCGCGCATTTATGGCACACGTGTGAAAGCTAAACAACGCTGCGCGTTCTCAAGATCTCGCGATACATTTTCAACTTAAGTGCCTTAAATTTGCATATTGCAGCTTTGGGCTTACGCGAATTTAAATCCGTCACCACTTAGGCTACTCGTCCGCTCGAAAGATACGCCCTGATTAGCTTCGTAAACGGCTCCTCCGAGATAATTACTGCCGATCAGAGCAAATGGAGCGGCCAAAATGGTAGTTCGTTATTTAAGCTCGGTTCAATGTCCGGCCGGGGTCACTGGATAGTCCTGCGCTGAGGAAGCTTGGGGGAAAACTATCACGCGGCTCTGTGTTCCAAAGTCAGATATAATTACGAGCTGCGGTAACGGACACGCGTTAGTAACTTCACCGCGGACAGCCCGGGCCTCGTCGGGAGATCAGCAGCCGTCATTCAAAATTGAAGACCGGACGATCGAAGGTATCCGCATTAGCATCGGACGGGAGCAGCAACGCGTTTTATCGCCCGATCGGCCAGCTCGAAACCGAAACTACCCTCCAGAATTATAAATATGTAAGCGTTTGAGAGCTTTGAGATCAGTGCGAAATTCGCTTCGCGTGCGGATCATGCGAACAAACTCGCCGTCAGAGAGTTTAGAATTTTAAAATTCATTTCAAGATCGATTTGAATCCCTTCCTGTTTATTAATTGCAGAATATTTAATCAATGTTCCCTCAAAAAGAAAAGAGAACAAAAATATATGTGTATATACAGAGCGTCTGTCGCTAAATGGGACATCCTTCGTATACTTATAATTTAGGTCAGTGTGAACAGAAAAGTTCTAGCATTTTGCTAGCAATCACGTAAATTTTGAATTATTAATTATTGAAATGGCTATGTTTCTTTAATTAATAACTCAAAAAATTTTCGTGGTCATTTGCAGAATATTAAAGAATTCGTTGACTCAGAACGAACTAATCTACAAGTACAAATATAGCGGCCGTTAGGTACACTTAGCGACAGACATCAGTATGTTGAATCTTGAAATTCGAACCTTGAATTTATCGTTAAATAAAACAGCCGCTGTATACTTGTAGATTAGGATATTCTGAACAAAAAAAGTAAAAATAGCTTTAGTGCGCGCTACCGCTATCTCGGTGCGTGTAGTGAACACGTACAATTCATACGTGTGAAGGTTGAGTGAAGGTTAAATAAACGACGAGCAATGGACAAGGCAAAAGTATATGTTTATGGTTAGCTTTAATCCGAAATGAAATCCTTTACCATTTTGCAAATAAAGCAAAATTTTGCATTATTAGTTAAAGAAGCCTCTATACTTAACCATTTTCAATAATTAATAACTTAAAATTTTTCGTGGTTTTGCAAAAGAAGAAAGTAGAAGAATTTTTTTCACATTGATCTAAATTACAAGTATATGACAGATAAGACACTTAGCGATAGACATCTTATATATATGTATATATATGTCAAAGGATATCATAGAGTAATATATATAGACAATAAGCAATTTTATATAAATAACGGTCCACTAAAATTTTTATGTTACTTTAGCAAGATATATATATATTAATTTAACATATATTTATGCGATTTTTAACATATTCCCGTATTAAAATAATACAATAAATTTCAGTGGACCGTTATTTACACAGAATTTTTTATTACATATTTATTACTTCAGCTTACACGTCAAGAAGGGGCTTGATTTACAATTTTTCCTTACTCCACACTCCTTCGTGCACATCTTATATTTATTTGTTTATATTTTATATTTATTTATATTTATTTATTTGACTAAATTAAACCGAATACACATAAATATCACCTCGCGTATAAAACCTCCCTTATTATTTCTATCATATTTTTTCACAGCCTTTTCCATTGGGTGATAAAAAATAACAAAATATAATTCATCTGCAGTTTACGCACTCGTCGCGCTTGAGACGTTTCGAAACCGAGAAACAATGTTTTTGACAGGTCAAGCTACCGTGTACACCTTCGTCTAAGTCGAGCGGTAATTAAGGACTCCCGAGGATACAATCCTCCAAGTTCCAATTACTTTAGCACTCGCGCCAAGCCGGGGCGAAGTGCGACGACAGATGCATGCGATCGATACAACCGAGTCTCTCCCTCGTCGTGCACATGAACGTTGCACTTAATATTTCACGATGCGCGATTCGGCAGCACGGGAAATATATATTGATCGGCAATGGCAAAAATGGTTAAAAGTCGCTAACCGTGACTTGAATATTTAAACATCGACCTAGCAATGCAGCCGTTATTGCCTCGGATTGGCCGGTTCGTCGCGACGATGCAAGGCGAAACGATGCACCAGATACATAAACACCGATGTTTTCCGGCGACTGTCCTTCCGCCGATCGCGAACATTCTCGAGTGATACGTTAATGGCACCGAGAGACACCCGTCGTTCTCTCCGGTCGAGGGAAAATTTTCGCACCCCCCCCCCCCCCGCGCTTCGGGAAAACTTTCNCCGGATGCGACGGGAGCGTCGAAGAGGCCGCGCTCGCACCTGCACGGTACTGCACCCCGCTATACGCACGCTCACTAATGCAAAACCCATAATTATCGCGGCGCAAACCCTAAAGCGATGTTCCATTAACCGCAAATGGCTCTCTCCGAATTTCTATTTCAGACTGGAACTCCGCGCTATTTATCATTCTGAACGGTACGAAGGAGGAGCACTTGGACATGCTGGACGGTGGTATTATTCAGCGATTACTTGAGGAAAAATGGAAGACCTTCGCGCGAGTAAGTGCGTCCACGTGATGGCGTTTCCCGCTCTCGTTTCTCGCTGAATTATAATATGCGTTATAGCACACCAACTTTTTCGTCCCTTCGCCGTCCTCTCTCTCTCTCTCTCTCTCTCTTCCACTCTCTCACTCCCTCCTTTGACCGCACATTTAGCGTTAAGTGCGACCGTCTGTGATTCTAAACTTTATTTATCTTATGCAAAGGTCACACGCGATGTTGCTTCAGCTTGAGAATCAGACTGCGGGCTCGCTTTTAGCGCTGAATATGCGGTCAGCATACGGCGAAGTGCCTCTGCCATCACGCTTGACTTTACGTTAACGGTGACTCGGGGATATTCTGTCTGCAACGATAGAATCTCGCAACACACGCGTCGACCGTCCCGCGGTGACGGTAGCTCATCTTTTATTAATTCGATTTTTAGCGCCATTTCGAATACCCAATTTTACCCGTACGCTTCGCCGCGGAATAAAATATTGGTCTCGTGAGGAATAAAGTAGTAGCCCTTGCCGAAGACAACGCTTGCATAATCGCACGTGTAACCGACAATAACAATTTCGACGGAACGTCTCGAGAAATCAACAATTTTACGTACGATCGTCTCTCTTTCTCTCTCTCTCTCTCTCTTCGTACGTGCTAGAGCGTAGAATTACACTATGCTAATGTGTCTAACGTATCCGCGGTATCCGGGATTTGCTCATTTCTTTCGCCAAACGTAGAACACGGCCAGTTCCTTTCAGCTTGTAACTCTATTGGGTATTCATACGACCTTCCCGGGTCTTACACCGAACAAAAGAAAGATTTCTTTTCTTCTCATGCTCCGTACGTAACTCAATGCACCAAAAATGGGAGTTGCTTCTTTCGCAGCCGTTCAATTTTATATTTTTGCGCTCAACGTATATACATCTCGCGTATATTTGCGTAACAAGTAGCGCTCCGTATTGAACGAGCGTATTAATGATTATGCAATTAAGCGAATGTGTGCGACGTATCTTTCCGCTTGGATAATCTTTAAATAATATGGAATATATTACGGTTCACGTCAGAATTAATATATTAAGAAATAAAGGATTTAACTTGAGAGAGATTGCATGTGAGATTACTTGGAAATTATCCGTGAAGCTATCATTAGCTCCCGATATTAACCAGTTTCGTAATTAGATACTAAACAGATTAGCTACTAAATAGATTGATTAGTGAAAACCCGTTTCTAAATTTGGAGAATACGTCATATCTGGAAATAGTGATGACGGTAATGAAATATTCCTCATATTTCGGTAAGGTATTTCGGTTTCGCGCGAGGTATCTCCGTTTGCGAGGGAGTAACTTTGGGGAACGAGATAAGTCATATTCTTCAAATTCTCCACACGACTTTACCGTTAGAGGGAGGGAAAAAGTGATAACGTCACTGGATCGGGCCGCATCGAAATACCCTTCCGAACGCCGGATATAGTTTACACAATTGACAACGCAAGTCGGCCGCGTTGGACGGATGCCGATAAATAACACGATATTTCGGAATACCGCATGACTCCGCGAAGCGAACGGGTGTCGCGAACACCTTAGTCTTTTTTCACGTGCGACGCCTTCGCGCTTCGGCTGAATTCGGCTCCGCCGGGGACTTTTCGGCTCCCGCTTATATCGATATTTACACAGTCGGCTTTATAAACAACGTTTCGCGAAGCGATGAAAACACGTCCGTCAAGCGCGAGTTTCTCGGGGGTTGTCCGATTTAACGATAAAACAGTGCATTTTCACGCGCGGTGGAGCCGTCTCGGACGCGAGCGCGGAGATGCGCCCGTCTAATTCGAGATATCATCGCGTTGTCCAGCGCGACGTCGAGTACGATATCCCTCTCTCTTCGCCTCTCCCCGCCTCCGTCGAGAGACTTCGAACGATTAACACCCGATCAGCCGGTCGAGTGACGTCGACGAGCGATAGCGTATAATTGCGTCGGTTATTTCAAGTCACTCCGTCGGACCGGCGGCGGTGGGCTCAGTGATTTCGAAACGATGGCTATCGAAGTTATACGGGCGGGCTGATTGCAATTACGATCGCATCGCGAACGAGCTTCCATACGTCGAAAGCCCCGAGTCGATCGGACGGCCGTGTATCGCGCATATTATAACTGCACCGCGTGTCCATAACGTTGTCCCGTTTATGGCACTAATCACGGCCGCACGTAGATGCGGTATCACCGGCGGCGCGGATCCCCTATTATCCGATCGGCGGAGTCAATCCGGCCGAGCGCGCTTCGTTAAAACGATTTCGTCCGTTTAACGGAGCGCGTACGCTTTGCGGCGCGATAACGAGAGCGGGGCTCTTTCGAGATGACGCGAAGAAGGTTCGGCGGGGTGATATCGCGAGATCGATGTCGTTCGGCGAGTAAACACACGCCGATATCGCATATGCGGCGAGAAAGACGATATCGTTCTCATGCGGAATCCGCGGCTGGGTATCCCCGGGTCATCCGCCGCTCGTCGTAAATCACGCCTTCTCCTCCGGCGTCTCTCGGTATCCGCGATACGACGGACAGAGGGAGCCGGGAATCGATCATCTCGAGTGGCCGACTCGTAGCCGAAAAATCCCCTCGAGCTTAGCCCCCGGGAGCAACGATATTTTCGTCGCACCCCCGTCTCTCCGCCCTTATATTACCGGTCGTAAAACTTTCCTCTTATGTTCCGGCCAATCGATGCGGAAAGTTTCGTGAGTGCATACGCCGACGTCTATTCTCCACGGAAAGTTGCAGTTCCTGAAGCGATTGATTATCTTGGTGTTTCACCTGGCCTCGCTGTCCTTAGCCGTGTACTTCAGGCCCGCGGACATGGACGCGGTGTTGCTGCACTGGCCCGAGGAGATAACGGACGTCGTCCGTATCGCGGCGGAGTGCAGCACCGTGCTGGGCGTGCTGAGTTACATCCTGGTGCAACTGGGCGGCGAGATGATCAACATCGGTCCGCTGTCCTTCCTGAAGCAACTGGTTGGTAGACTTTTTTCCCCGTTCCCGCGACGACGACCTCGCCGTCAGGGGCGTTTTACCCACACGGCCGCGCCGGCTTCGAAATTCTCATGGTACGAGAAATCGATCAAGTTGCGAGACCGCAACGGACGCTAATTAAGCTTTCGTATCGTTTTAATCGGGTGATCAGATCGAAGCGTGTACGAGGCGAACGCTCCAGGCTCGGAAACTGCGGTTTCGATCTAGCAACGCGTTGAACCTCGTTGAAGAGAGATACGATGTAATCCAGAATAATAGAAAGTCTCGAACGGAGATCTGCGCGATTTTTCTTCGAACCGTTCCGTAAATAGTCGACATTCTGATGCTACTTTGATGTTCTCAAGAATAAAAGAATTGCGCCTATTCAGACGGCTTGTAAATGAATAAAAATCTGCTTCGACGGTGGCTGAATCGAAATCTTAGTACTGCATTAAGTCTACTTAGTTCTACATTGAGCCCACAAGTGGAGAAAACGGAAGTAACTTCCGATTTTCTAGCATCAAAGGAACATTAATAATGCTCCTTTGATGCCACAAAGGGAATTTAAACCTGCGGGGGAGAAATTTTTAATTCTATATTGAATCTTCGAGTGAAGAAAACGGAAATAACTTTCCCACTTGTAGCATCAAAGGGAGCACAATGGGAGATTTTTGAAGGCTTAGCTTACAATTAAATAGACTTAATATAGACTTGAAATTTTGACCCGAGCATTTTTCAACTTCTCCTTCTCGAACCTTTAATTCTACAGATTAAATTTTAGTGCTACCTTCAATAATCTATTTTGACGCTAAAACAGCGGGAACGGAAATTTAAAACATCATCAACGTCCAAGTACGAGTTGTATTACAGAATTGAAACTGAACCTATTTTGTTACTTTAACTTCTACTGTATTATAGAATTAAAGGTTTAACATCGGGTCAAAATTTCGATTCGGCTAAATTTGGCGTGAAAGCCGACGTGATCAACGAAAAAGTCGAAGAATCGGACATCTAATTTCCAACGTAGGATTCAATTCGGTGTTTCGCGCGTCCTCTTTTTCCTAATATCCCGATATAAAACGCTGCATACGGTGAATACGGTCCCCCCCCCCCGGGTTCTGAAACAAAACAAAACGCTCCTGCATCATCTCTGTCGTTTCTCCCGATCGCGAAATGTCCCGTTGTTTCGTGACGGCTCGCAACGATGCCGATGCTGGACCGTGCAATTTCGGTTGCGATGCAGCCGGCTAAGTGCAGCCAGTTGCGCAAATCCGAGAGGCTAGTGAACTGTAACGGATCACGATGGATGCGCGAGGTATATTCCGCGGCTGCTGGAAACCGTACGTTCATGGCACTAATCTTCCACGCATTAATGAACCCGAAGAATGAGAGAAAGATAGGTCGATGATTACGGGGCGCATTACGAATAGCCGTAAGGCAATAGCGGTGGCGATATCGATGAGAGACCGGTATTTCCTATCGCTCTCTCCTTTTTTTTTTCCCGTAACTTCATTAACCTGCGTGTTTGCGATCGGTTTGTCTCACGGTCCGAGGAAGCGTCTGATGACGATGCTTTTTGCATCGATATGTCGATAACTATAAACTCTCCGCGAAGAGTTTTCCCTTTTCCTTTATTATATCACAAATGAAAGGACCAGCCTCGGTTTTCTCCGGTGTATCGGGCCGATAGTGAAATAGATTTAACGTCAAAAACGTGATATTGATAGGAAACGATTTATAAGGGACACTTTTTGTTTTTCAATCTCTGTCGTAAGGTAGGAAAGCGCGCGAGAGTATACACGCTTTTAGAAAATAAAACGAACGTACGTGCGCGCGCCGTTGTCCCTCCGAGAGATTAATGCCGCGATATCGGATTTAATTATCGGATTGCCTCGAGCGATATCGCATTATATAGCCGAATATCGTAGGAAAATGAAATCTCACCCGCGGGAAGACACCGCCGGCAGCGAATGATTGATTGCGTCGCAAGTATTTTTGGTAGAATCGATATTTTGATATATGCCCCCGGTAACAAAGACGGATCCTTCTCCTTTTTCAAGCGGGACAAACGCGATTGGTGCAACCTCCAATTAAAATTTCCTCTCTCTCTCTCTCTCTCTCTCTCTCTCTCTCTCTCTCTCTNCTCTCTCTCTTAGAAGAAAAGGAAATTATAATTATCGGCAGATGGTTCACAAACATACGTGTACATACCTTGCATGATAACATTTTTCGTATGTTTACCTGCCGCACGATTTTCGCACGAGACGCGAAAACGTAAAAAAGATTCGTTGCATTATCGGTTATCTATCCGTATCTATCAATTAAGAGAGTATATACATATATATACCGTCGGTTATTACTCGCATTGGATCGATACGCGCATACATCCGCACACCATACTGCGGCGCCGTACCAATACAATCGGGGCAACGTAAGCTATATTGTTGCATTATTAAACCCGAGTCCCAGTCTGCGCGTCCGCTTCGATTTGCGGGTAATTAATACCGGCGACGATTCAAAAACGTTAACGCGCGCCCGATCGCCAGCCTCGTCGTCGCTGCGTGTAATTTGCCTGCCCCAGGTGGTCAAAAATATTTTACCTAATTACGTGTAAATACAAGCTCGACGTTTCATTACTTAAAGCCCGAACTATGCGCTCGTTTATTTATTTGGAATCGCATTTTTCGACATTTCACGCGCGCGGAAGCTTAAATCTTATCTCTCCGGTTACACTGTTATCGAAAGATCGGCGCGTCATTTGTGGGTTTTGCGAAAATAATTACTTTCGCTCAACCTTTAATTCTGTAATTGTTTTGAAACAGCGAAACGATATGCAAAACAGTCTCGATGTATCGTAGAAAAATATTTCATTCCTATTATTTACATTCTACGGGATTCTCCCGACGACTTTCATATTTAAATTTTAGATCAATGTGCTTACGCAAAGTCAACATTAAGGCAGTTGGATCGCAGAATATTTATTTTTAGTGACACATCAAGGTGACCACTCATAAAGTATTCATTCGTTAGTATTTATCAAACTAAAAAATTACGTTTCTATACATTTATTTCATCACTTAAATAATAAATGTAAATTTGAAACGAAGTTCAGATAAACATATGTATACATATATACAATATTACAATTACAATATTACAATTACGAAAATATTATTATTTTTTTATTTTTCTTATTAATGTTATTTTTATTGATTTCATTAGTTGATCCAATAGAGATACACAGATAATAGAAAGATATATATATATAAGTTTTTAAATATGTGTGCATATATATGTGTATATATTTTGAGTACTATAAATTATGAATTTTACACCAATGAATTTTCAAAACAAAATGGACAATAAGTCTGACATTTTTGTATCACGTTTCTATATCAGTTTTTAATGTTACGTTATTTTTCATTAAAAAGCCATTCAACAATTACGTCACACTCGGATATTTTTTTTAATTCACCCTTCCTTTCGTCACAATTTCGTCACAAAGTATTTTCCCCCTTCCAATATTACGTGACATGTGGAATTACTCCCCCCTTCCCTCTCTGGACGCAGAATAAAAAAATAACTTATAACTATATTGTAGACACCCGGCTAACGAGATGACGTCAAATGCCGTCTTAATGACGCCGCCAACGTCAGAGACGCATTTGACGTCATTAAGAGGTCATTTGACGTCATCTTGTTAGCTGGGTAATAATTACCAAATTTCGTGTCATTATCTTTCTCTAAAATACAAATAATTTTTAGGCATATAAGATCAAATTAATTACTTTATTTTATAATTTTGTTTGGTAAAAGTCGTGTTAAAAAAAAAGTTTAATTAACATTTTGATTATTAACACGAAACCATGTCGAAATTTTCACCAATTCTAATCAAATGTGTCACGAATGCAAACAAAGTGGACAATCACGCATATCCATAATTACAAATTATGCCATCTAATGTGACGTGCCACGGCTTTTACTCCCTCCTCTCTGCCATCGCAGACTGTCACGCAAGCTAATAGACCTCCCCCCTCCTCCCCCGTGTGTGTGTAATTGGCTTGAATAGCTCTTTAAAATCCTAAATGTGGTTTGAAAGAAATTACAAATATAAGTTAAAGATAAAAATTAAACGGGGCATTAATTTCAAAGAATACATACGAAAATTGTCATCTTTAGATACGAACATCTCAGCTTCCGAATGATCCATCCACTTCTAATTGCACTAATAATTAGGTTATGTTTTTAAATCTATATATAGTGTAAGTGTAAATGAAAATTCTTAAAATACTAATTTTGTGCTACAACTACCTTGAAGCAGAGGTAGAAAATAATACGGAATACTAGTACGTGCTCGGTCAAGATACTCTTGTCCCCGTGCATCGCGCAAATTTCGCACCGCGCGGTCTCGCCGTCCGTTACATAGGAAGGTATCGAAATTGCACGAAAATATCGATTTCCCTGCGGACGTTCCTGAAACGTTGCAAGAGTGCATGCGGCTACACTAACGTTCCGCCTGTGCGCATTTGCATTTCAGAGCCACGAACCGGCCAAGTTGATATTCGTGATCAGCAATCTGCTCATTCTCGCGTGCATTCCATGTCGTATCGTCGGCAATCGGCACGCGGAGGATGCGATACTGGTGTTCGCCGTGCCGGGCTCGTGGTTTCTTCTCATGTTTTTCGCCGGGTAAGTAATATACAGAGACGGCCACCGACGGAGAGAGAGGCGGCCGCGAAATTAAAGTGGTTGCAATTTACCGGTACGACGCGACCGGGTCACACTCGTTACATTGGCCACCCGTTTGTTTTACGCATCATTTTAACGCTCACCACCACCACCACCACCACCATCGCCATTTCCGCTAGAGGCGGCCGTCACGTATGTGTAACCGGCGACTTGTTTACAGCCAGCTCCCGCACATACCGCTCGTAATTTGTTGGGCTGAATAGCGAATGGATCTTTCTTTTCTCGACGCACTTCGGATATAATTAAACGTGCTTCTCCCCCGGCTTCCCCCGCCTTTTTATTTATTATTATCGGAATTACATGCGGGCGCGCGCGTGGAAAAGATAATCGCGATTGGCTATTTTCACGTCACATTTCTCGTGAAAAACAGGATACGCGCTAAATATGGTAGATTAACGAAGGAGAGAAGGAATATTCGTAGTCTCGAGGGTCTCGAGGGAAAAAGACCGTTGCTCTCATATTTATGAAAGAATGAATTCTACACACGCTGTGCGTTATTTCTTTTTTTAACGTACAGGTTACCTGTTACCTGCTACCACGAAAGCGCTCGTTACGGGGCGGCACGTGTATTAATATGCGCGACGATCCGCCTCGACAGGGAGGTCTTTTCGTGATTCTTCGCGGGGAGACTTTTGCGATTTATTGTTCGATGCTCCTATTTAACTGTTTTCTCTCATAATCACATTCATCGGCATGATTTAGGACTCGTAATTATATGCACTTTTTCCCCCTTCTACATAGAGAAAATATTGTAGAAAAATTACTGCAAAAGTTTGTAACGTTGAAATATATCGGAATTATTATCGAAATTATTATGTGTGTAATAATGTCATCAGAGATTACAACACACGTGATAATTCCGATAATAATTCCGGCATATTTCAATATTAATTATCATCAATATAAAATTATCATCAATATCAAAATTTTTGTAGTAATTCTTACCGCAATATTTATTCCGTGCACACGGAAAAAAGAATTAGCTTCCACGGCTGAAAATTAACTATTCATACAACTGAAATTTACCACAATTTTTAGAATGAAAATTTTCACTCGAGTAATTTTCAGCTGTGGGAGTTTATTATTTTTTTTTTCGCGCACCTATCGCTCATTTGCCGGATCAAGGCGTCGTAAATCACCGCAGGTCGCAAAAAAGAATCATCCACCTGCATAACGCGCTGGCACGATTTCCCGTTTGGACGACGGGAAAACTTTCGCAAGGATCGCGAGGGCTGCTGCTTCGCTCTCTGTCCGTTAGCGAAACGAACACGCTTGTAACAAACACTCCGCCGCTTAACGACACTTTGACGAACGCCTGTCGACGAACATCTCCCGCCCGCCTTCCGACGTACTTCCGGGAAGAATGGGACAAATGGTTTATCGAGGGGCGAAGACGTGCATTCGCATTGTGCTTATACGTTCCTGATACGTGATATCAAAGCTACGTGACCGACATCGCGAGTGGCAGTCGGATTGCAGCTGCTCCTTTCGGCAAACTTCTCGTTCCGCCGGTTCGGACCGACCGCATACACGCAAACATCCCGACGACGACGCTACATTTCGGCGGATACGCGGGGTGTCAGGTGGACGCCAACGGTTACTCGTCGCTCCCGCTTTTCGGCGGGGGCCAGGTAATGACCATCATTGCAACGCGATGCGTTTGTCGGCGTTCGACTCGATTCCGAACGATTTACCGTTTCCTCAACGACCGAATTAAGAGCGGAGTTTCATTCCCGGATGTGTTTCCACAATTAGAAGCTTTAAATCGTTACCGTCCCCCTTCCTCACCCTCCTCACCTCCTTCATCGATCCATTTTTGTTATATCCACGACACGGTACATTCCTTATTTCTTATTACGTTATCTTGAAATATTTGCGTATCATGACTGCCGTTTTGGAGCACCGCTGCCGATTCATCAAATTATCAACAGTCATAATGCGCAAATTTGGTTGGAAATTTTCGATACCACTGTGCCCAGGGCGCAGCATTAATAGAGTCCGCTGTTCATTCGGAATCATTGGTTGCGTTCAGAAAACAACGGTTGAATAATTCGTCAATATAATTGGTTTAAATTTAGGAGTCCAACAGTAAAGACTAATAATCATTAACCGCTCACTGATCGCTTGTGTTTTCTGAACGTAGCCGTTGGTTGCGTTCAGCGAATGCAATAGTCGCACAACGGTTGAGTAATTCGTCAACGTAATTGGTCTAAATTCAGGGATCTAACAGTAAAGGCCGATAATCATTGCTCAATGATCGTTTGTGTTTTCTGAACGTCGCCGTTGATTCGTTGGCTCATCGCTGCGTCGAGCTCGGGAGGGACGTTTCCTCTCACATGCGCCAATTTCCTCTGGCCATCAGCAGCCGGTTGCGCGTCTATACTGAGTACGAGACATCGTTGCAAATCCAAGTGTGTTATTTTTACACGCTAAACATCTAAAAATAACACATTTAACCGAAGCCCTTTTCACACGTTTTCTGCCGTTTTAGGTTATACGTCATTTAAAATTTAAATCGTGTCAAATGACGTCGGTTAAAACGACAAGAAATGTATAAGAATGGCCTCAGCTAAAATAACACGTTTTGATATGCAGTGGTTGCGTCGATAATAATGGTAAACAATAACACGGGGGAAGCGTCCCTGCCGGAACGCCTAGTCAACGAATCATTGATTCCGAGTGTACATCCAAGAGCGCAGGAATGCAGGTGCGATTAATTTTTAGCGACTTGTGCGACTTCGCTCGCCCGAGTCGAGACTTCTGAGACAACGAAGAACGCGCCACGATCAAGCGGTGAGCATTATGTCGGCTCTTCCGCCTCTTGCCTGGTATCGCGTCGTATAAGGTGTATGGGAGGAGTACTCCTGGAACTTGGGCACAGAGGCGCAAAGAGTGTATATTGAATTTAAACAGACGTAAAACGGCGGCTCGTAAATGGTACATCGTAAAGCACTTAGGCCGTAACTTTAGAGGCGGCTGTAGAGCGGGCTCCCGCGTTAAATTTTGTGCGAAATTAATCTCAGGCGTGACTGTGGCTTATTGCCAAGCGAACGACAGCCGTGATGGAGGACAAGAAACACGGCGCCGAGTGCGCGGCTGCCTTTGAGGAATTACCGCGCGTATACGTGCTTAAACGAAGTGACGCTGGGGTCTAAAGAGGACCCTGATGGACAGTAATTACGCACGGGGAAATGTCGTTCGCTCTCTCCCTCCCTTTATCCTTCTTCCTCTACGTCGATCCTGCCCTCTTACGTCGCGCTAAATAAATAAAATCTATTGCGCTCCACTTTACGAAGATCCGGTAACATATTGTGTTAGTTTTTTTACGTTCAAAGTTCCGGGTCGAACTGTGACCGCGTTAAATTACGGCGTCAAAAATAAGGCCGCGGATTTCTCTCACGATATCGCTCGCTGTTCGGCATCGTTTTGCGCTGCACTTAAAGGTAGCTGGCGCCCGTCAAATCATTCTCTTAAGAATCCTTTCAAATTCTAGACACATATTGATAGAAATATTGAAAATATCGTCATTAATTTCAATATTATGCGTGGAATTTAATTAATATTGCAGACAGTCCCGAGATAAACTAGCAATTACAGTTACGTACGTTTTCTTTTTACTTAAACTACCACAAAACCGGAATAATTTTAGCATTCATTCAAATTAACGACCGGTAGTGTACGTGTGCACTTCTATTAGCTCAACTTACGTACAAATAAAGCACTTACATCTAAGAAAAATAAATAAATAATATATCTCCGTGTTTACAATATCATATACATATTTATCTTAATTTCGCACAAAATTAACATCTATTACTTAAATCGATAAATAAAGTTACAGAAATATCCTTCTTCCTTCGGTAAGTAATAAAACTTACAAACTCACAAACCCTTTAGTATCGCCATTGAAAATCCGCCATTGAAAACCACGGACCGACTACCTTAATGCGCTTCAACGTTTCCGGCGCGTCCTGCACATTCTCTTCGAGATCACGACTATACGGACAAGGGGTTAAGGGGCCTCGCTTAATTCGCATTACATCCATGCACGCGCGACGGATACGGCTGTAAATTAAACGGCAAACAGAGTCGTCCTTTTTCCGACGAGTCGCTCGTAACGGGTGTCACATACACACACCCGTACATGTGCACGTGTAACGTGGCAATTCAAATGTTTACACGCCCGCCCTGAGCGAATCCGTGGTGGCTTGCGCTCGCCGTATATATACGCGCTGTACACGCGAAGATATTATTTCAAAGCAGCTGCTTCGAATCCATCGGTTCGGGTATTGATTAGAGCAGCGACAATCGCAACTGCTTGACTTTAATATCCATCGTCGCGAGAGGCCGCGACGGCGGCTCATCTGGTATTAATCCGGTATAATTGCCCGCAGCTGTATCGCGAGGCGGGAGAGGGAAAAGGAGGAGAAGAGCTCGGCGGTGCTCTCTCCTCCTTCTCGAACTTCGCTAAAAGTATCGGGGAAAACTCGCGCAGAGCGGAAACTTGTTTGCCGAGCGGAAGTCGGCGTGCCCTATTGATTTTTCCGAGACAACGTATACGCGCCTGATACCCGGGACAACGACGTTATATCCCTCATCCAAGTTGCATCGCTTATATCGCGCCGCGCTATACGGGGGTGTATTATTCGGGTGGCGCGGAAACGAGGGAGGGAGAGCGGTGTGTCTTTTCTACCGTGGCTGTCCCTCCCTTGAACTTACTCCGAGAGAAAGACTGAAGATTTATGAACGCCGATAACCCTTGACAAGATAAGGTCACCCATCGATTAGCGGAAGAGGGTAGGACCGGCAACGGACCGACGACGTCGTCGAAGTTAATGGAGACTCGATCGATGCTCTCTCTCTCTCTCTCTTCCGCCGTTATTTGTCGATCACTTGCCGTTCGTCCGTCTGTCCGTCCGTTCGCCCGTTCGTTCGTTCGTTCGTTCGTTCTCCGTTGATTCATTCTCTCTCGTTCGCTCGTTCACCCGTTCGTTCGTCGCGGAGGCACGTGAGTCTCTTCAATCTTAATCCCGGTCGAATGACGAATCTGAAAAATTTGTCGGCCCGTCGACGGGCGCGGAGATACGCTGGGATTAAAAAGCTTTTGTTTTCCGTTGCCGTACTACCCGTCCGGCGGCATCGATTTTAATCGCTCGTCCTACGGTTCCGCCGAGTTCCGGCTCGCGCCCATTGTGCTCGCATATGATACGCCGGATGCCGCGAGTCTCGGATTACGGATCGTTTTGATTTTATCGATACGGACCATGGCACACTGTAATCGTATAGCCGCGAACACAACGGCAAATTTAGTAAGTGCGTTGCAGAGGCGAGGCGCGAAAAAATCAAAGGTTGAAGAAGCTCCGAAGGATTCCGGCGCAACAGTGAATGGGCGATCTCTAATTCATTTTAATTCAAACGTTCATATAAGTGAAATTCTCAATCAATCTTCATTCTTTCCGTGAGACAGCGTGACCGCTGTTGTGATGGATCCTTTAACTCTCTTTAAATCTCTCACGATTGTACAACGACGTAGACTCGATATAAATGTCAGCATCCAACCGCCCATTTGTATTCTTGTTGAATAACCAAAATCGCGAATTGAATAATCGAAATATGCAAGTTATTAGAGGAGAAGGATATTACGACCCTTGTAGATGTGCCTCCCCTCAATATATCCGCTATTAGGTAACGAATTTTAAAAACGATTACTTGTGGAATCGTTCTTTTCAATAGCCCGTCATTGCGCAGCAGAGCTAATACACAATAGCCGGTATTGGTTGTAATGCATATTTATTTTCGAGCATTTCGAAACGTCTTCAAGGTATAGTAATTTTAGCATTTAATTGCACATATTCGTTCTTAAACTTCAATTTAAAATATTGATTATTAATAAGATTACTGTACGGAATACAGATGGGGCGGGGGCCGTATTATCACCTTCTCCCCTATATTTTTCACGTCATCGTGAAAAGTATCACACGAATAGTAGAAATGTGTTATTACAATCGACGATATCGATGACGGAATAAATCTCTCGAGAAGCCCCGTCTCTACTTTACGATGGGACGACGAAGTATAATACGTTAATACTTTATCCGAAGTCTGCTTTATATTAGTTGCGATTCCAACTTTGCGATAACGAAAAAGTCGTAACTTACTTGTGTCGGCGTATTACGAAGTTAATGCAATCAGTAATGCGCGAACTTAAAATGAAATTTCCTGCCTGTGAGCGAGTGTAGATACATCAATATAGAGAAAGACCTTTAAACGTTTTAAATGCCCTACATACCGCGTAATGAATTTTCTTTTTTCTTCTTAATTTAATTCCAATTTAATTTTATTACGTGATATAATTTGTACACGCGATGTATAATTTTATTATGCTGTTATCGGAATCCGTTTGTGCGCGTGTGCGTGTATGAATAATTTCGGTTATTCGTCATGATATTTTTTTATTAGCAACGATAAATCAGAATACTCTTTCTTTTTTTTCTCTCTACGGTGTACATACAAATCATTTAAAGTATAAATCTCGCGGGAACGATGTACAAGCGAGAAATACGCACTCGCATACGCGTATTATCAATCGTTTTTTCTGGGTTAATCAATAATATATTTACATTTTTCTGCTCTACCGGTAGAGTTATTAGCATTTAATTATTTTATACTGGTTATAAATTTGAGCTGCGTGTAAGAAGAGTGGTTTACATATGCTGCACCGAATTGCTGCACAGGCACTTTTCGTGCCTGACCTGTTCGAGTTATCGCGGCTACTGGAAACGCGATAACGTGCGATACACTGAACTCCAATATCAGGCGTTCAGAGCCACGCGCTTTTTAAGCTCGTTAACCGATCATTTCATTATCGAGAGCCTTCCTTCCACGTAACTTAATGCCGATGACGATAATATATGCAAATAACGTTCTATTTCATCAAATTGCTACGATGCGCATTGACCGTTTTTAAGCGTGTAATTATTGTATCTAATCGTGTCGGGGAAATTAGACCAGTCGAATGACAACTTTTAACAAGCTTATGCACTAATTGATACCGAGCTGAATTACGCCGAGTTGAATTACGCCTGAATTACGCAGGAAATGCGCCGGAAGAAAAAGAAACAAAGCACACATACATACGTATATTAATTTGTTCGCGGTACGACGACACGTCAAATTCTCTTTGGCGATTGCCGCGTTCAAGGTAAAACATACACACCGTTTCGACGGATTAGGCGAATATAATTATGTATCTCGTGTATCAGGCCGGCAAATGTTTTACGATGGATTTTGTATGCATAATGTTACACGTGCTCGCGCACACACACGCACATACATATGCACACGAGCGAGATCGATGTCGATGGCGTTAATAGACTGATTTACTTCGGACTTTGATGCGTGAATACCGCGCGCTGAATGGAACGCGGCACCTCATTCATGTAATAGCGATAATCACATTTTGTTGGCACCGCTAATGGAACTACAGATTCGCAGTAAACCGATGAATAGAGCGAGGAATGTAGAGAATTAAACCGAACTGATGCGGAACGCGCGCCGCCAAAAACGTTACTCCGGGCTGCCGACCCCCTCCCCCCCCCCC